CCCCCCCCCCCCCCCCCCCCCCCCCCCCCCCCCCCCCCCCCCCCGCCACTTCTTCCCTCTCCCAGCGCGCTCTTCTTCCTCAACCGAGCAGTCCCCTTATATCGCTTTTTTCTGTGTTTTTGTAAACGACGACTTCCTTGAGGATGGTGACGGACTAGGCGACCTGAAACAAAAAAAATCTTTCAGTCTAGGTGCGTGGATGTGAGAACGTCTGTATGACTGGAGAACAATAAGGTTACATTTAGTAAGCAGTATGTTCAAAACATGAGGAAATGAAAGCGTTACCTTGAAACAGTGGCGATTTCATCTCTGGCCAGTGGGCTGACTGCAATTGGTGCTGGCGCTGGCTTGCGCGCCGTTAGATGATGCGCCATGCCAGCCATTTTATGTTTGAGTCCCTGCAAATCTAGGCACTCTCACGGCCCATTCAATAAAGGCAGCAAAAATCACAGTGTATGTTAAAATGGACGAGCAACGCATCGAACCCCTTTGACATTTCGATCGAAGCACAGCTTCAAGATATCAATACGGACAGCAACCTTTCCGCGACTGCTGCGACCGAAGCTCCATCGTCTGGCGAGCACTTTGCTAGTAACTCTGATATTCGCACCCCTGCTTAGTTTACCTACTCCCGAGAATCTACATTACCACAACCTCACCTACTAAGTGATCCCTCATAACAGTCATACCCTGTAGCAAGAAAGAAATGTGTCGGGAATTAATCATACAGAAATTCCTAAAGCAAACAGGATCTGAGCCAAATGCAATAGAAGCCATATTAATATGCAGCTATATTTTCCCCTATAGCATACTAAAAATACATCCACTTATACAATAGTATTACCCAAACAGAAAAAATACTGGAAAAGATAATAATAATTCAATTCCAAAGTTTCGATATACCACTTTCATTAAAAGCTGTGAATAACCTGTAATGTGGATGGCCGGCTTGCACAGGTCAGCGACAGCGACGGTGCGGCAGAAGCCACCTTCTCTTCCTCTTTATACGGAATCCCAGCATCTGAGAGCCGTTTACACTGCGCCCCACCGGGACTCATTTGTGGTATCACCGAAAGTGTCGAGGCTGGATTAACAGTACTGCTGCAAAATCTTGCATTAAGAAAACATTTAGTGCAGTCGAATTAAGGGAGCACTTAACACTGGTACGTAATCGTTGACCTTGAAACCTTGAACGGTGAATACCCCTCCAACATTTTAATTTCCTAATTTTCTGGTTTTCGAATGATCTTTCAGACAAAAATTTCAGGTAGTCATACTTGAGACCTCGACATACTTAGAAATTGAATTCGAAATTGTAAAGCCCCTGCTTAGACAGGAAAAATTCTCCTGAAATTTTTAGCCCCCTAACTCTTCTGGCTCCCAAGATAATGATTTTTCTCCCCAAAACTTCCATGAGGACGTTGAAAATTTGCGGAGTTGTACGTGGGCAGGGAACGCCACGATAAAATTCCAGCTTTCTAGCTTTTGCAGTTTACGAGATAATAATTTTCACACCAAAACTTTCACGGAGCTGTACATGTTGCCGAGGAGTATATGAAGGCTGAATCCAGATTGGCGGGGGGTCGTACGTCGATAGGGGACATCGCCCTAAAATTTCAGATCCTCAACTTTCGTGGTTCCTGAGATAATAATTCCCACGCCAAAATTTTCTACGGAGTCGTACGTGTTACCCGCGGATAGGCGAAGGCTGAATTTGAATTTCATGGGTCATACGTGGGCAGGAGACATGCCCACAAAATTTCAGCCTTCTAGCTTCCGTTGTTTCTCTGATAATGATTTCACCCACCAAAACTTCTACGGGCCACACGTGTTACACGCGGGTATCGGGAGGCTGAATTTAAATTTTCTGGGTCACACTTGGGCGGGGAACGACCTCATAGATTTTCAACTTCCTAGCTTGTGAGGTTCCCGAGTTCAATAATTCGGTGACCACAAAAATTGCGAAGCCAAAATTCAAAGAAAATATTATGTACCCACGTGTGACACAGAAAATTTCAGGTTCACATTCATGTGTCCCTGTGTTTCGTGCACCGACGCAAGCACTCTGACAGGGAATTTCCCAACTCTGACACCACGCAGGGCGTAAAGTCGAAATTTCAAAGGGATGTTTCCTACCCACGCGTGGTTCTACAAATTTTAAATTTAGTTTCCTTATAGGTATAGATCCCGCATAAGAAAAAATTTAAGTTTTGGCTGGACAAAACATTCCGACGATTTCTGCACACAGCAAGCGGCAAAGCAGTGAACATCTTTAACAGGAAGCGTCCATCACAGATAACTGCGCAAAACGCAAAATCGTATCAAGCCATCCTGGTGCACGCCGCTATTTCATCGATGCAGTGGCTCAATGAACGATGGTAGCTGTAAACGCAAAATTCAAAACAACGCTGCTAACCTTAATTGTATTCCATCCTGACTTGAGACCGATCGCGGCATGAATGTTTGCTTTTGAGACGAGCTCCCCGGAATTATATCATTATTGGCCCTTTTACCACTCAATCTGCGTAATAGTGATGCTTTTCGTGCTTTCTTCTCAAGCTGCACACGTCGCTGAGGCTTCTTTGCTTTCTTCTTTACGAGTTTACCAACAGCATGCCGCGGAGCGCCCTCACGAATTGAGGTCGAAGACAGCGGCGTAACCTGCGTATATTTTTTTTAAAAAACAGTAGCATCAACAAATGTAGTGACCCTACGGACAAGATTTCTGTTTTTCGGATGGAAAAAATTTTTGATTTCAACAAAAACGCACCTTCAGCGACAGCTCATTGCCGTATGCAAGAAGTCGATGCATCAGCTGTGGATGAGTGAGGTTGGAGACTGGCTGGGAGTGAACGTGAGTGATGAGATCATTGGCTCGTAATCCTGCTTCGTACGCCGGCGAGCCCTGCTCTACTTTTGTCACCAGGTGTTCGATGGTGTAGTAGTCGGATTGCTCACCCAAATATACGCGTACCGAGCGTATCGTGAAACCAAAGCCCTTTGGACCCTTTCTGGAACAACACAATACTCGACAGACATCTCGCGTTCTTCTTAAAACACAAAAAACGAAATAAAAGTTATTGAGTATGATAACAAAAAGAATAAATGACCAACGCACGGGCTGCCCGTGCGAAGATGCGTTTTTTGCAGAGTTCCCCGCAGGTTT